CCGCGCCGCGGCTGGCGGCTGGCGCCGTCGCGAAGTTATCGTGAATAGGACAATTTATAAGTGCCTTTAGCTAAGGAAAATCAAAAGGTTCATCCGGTTCAGGTATAAGAAGATGGGATTTTCTTGAAAGATAAGTAAGTCCTGTTGCACCAAAGAGGTGTATAGAGTTTTAGTAAATTTTTCTTCGTGGATTGACGCCAAAATTCTCAATTATATATTTGTTTCCGTTTGGCCAACCAAACAAACAAAAAACGAGCAAACCCTTATTCTTCCAAGACATTATACATTTCATCCAAAAACGTCGTGAGCAAATGTTGTTTGTATTTACATGTTGACCGATTAACTTTGGGTCTCAATAATTGGTAAGTGGACCAAAACTCCCTTGCCGAAAAAACGCGTGGACTTAACTACTGGAAAAAACAAGTGCTCGAACAAAAAATCGTTGAAGAAATGTCCTATAACCATTTTAAACAATATTCACGTACATTCGCAATACCCTTTATGTGATTTTCATATGCTTCATAATAAAGTCACTATCAAGTCTATCTAATTCTAGATATTACTTCAAATCCGCATAATAAACGACCATACTGATGTTATGGAATTTTCATGTTGAGCGCAGTATACTGAGGTTTAGTCAGTAATTTGGTCTGTTAACAATGCGGTTAGTTAATATGTAAAGAGAAATCGATACGTCCATCAACATCCGATGTAAAGAGGAGTGTGTATCATCATAATCATAATATGACACCAATTCACTCATAATGTTGACACATGTTTGCTGCAATTTAGCATTGCGGTTTTGAAAAAAAGTGTTACAAACTACGCAGATTGCAAGCTATGAGAAATAGATTTCAGACTATTTTAATGTGCTCAACGTGATTTTCGTGAGATTTTACACGTTAAGAGTACATTTATTTGGCCGTATCTCTTGCGCACAACAAACCCACTGTGGATTGATGCTTGGGTTAGTAACCTAATTCATTGGGGTATGTCACAATTAATTGAAAATTTCCACATCGTCCAACAACTTCGTGCTCATTTTTATTCCGTGTATAATCAGAAAATTTCCTGTAAGTCTCTTCTCTAAACCAGATTTACAGGAAGCCGATCAGAATTATTTATACTCGTCCGTGCGGGAAGAGGGGCGGCCGTGAGGGTAAATTAGATGAGAATGGAAGGGCGAAGAATTTCAGTTTGTCCGGAACGGGTGCCAAATTTGCAAAGCAACGGACGAGAATTCAGACTTTGGGAACTTAGGAGCCGCTTTTGCTTGGCGCCTGGAGCCTCCCGCCCCGGAGTAATTAACGACTCCATTCACAAGTCAAACGGGGGCTTGTCGATACTCGCCAAGTTCGGGCAGCCTGGAGCCCGGCTTAATTGAAACTAAACCACCCCTTATGACAGACTAGAGAATGGGAAAGGGAGAGAGAGAGGGGGGGGGAGAGAGAGAGCAAATTGTCCAATAGAAAATGGATCTGTTGCACGCAAGAGACACTGCGGGCCGAATATTGAAACTGATAGACAAAGCGATAGACAAAGAAGACATAGGGAGTATGGAGCGATCCTATTGGTAGACATGGTTGGTTCATATAGACTAAGGAAGAAAATGATGGACTAACTGTCGGGTCCTTGGTGGGTTGCCGTTCCTCAGTCCATTACCTACCTCCTATGTCCATTGCCACTTGAAAATTTTCCGAGAATTTTCCTTAATAATCTCAAATAAAATCATCGAAAATTTCGACACGATATTTCCGTTCGTTTTATATTAGTTTCATGTGTAACGAAAACTAATTTAAATATCATCCAATTTTCTGAATCGTTACAATGAGGATACATATTTTCCGTTTAATTATGTTAAAAACCGGAGCAGAGAATCAAGAATTAATGGCGCTAATATGCGTTCCACGCCAAGTGACCGACTGCAATGCGTTTGGCGCAATGCGAGAAGTATTCACGCATTCTTGTAGGCGCTTACGTCGACCGCACTGTTTGGCGCAATGCGTGAAGTATTCGCACAGTCTTGCAGGCGCTTATGTGCGTTTAACGCCGGCTGCACTCTGTTAGAATAATCAGGGCATCAAGCATGGGGCTCAAGAGGCCCATCTTGTGTTTCGACGCCGTATGACTTAGAGCATGGTATTTTTCAGATTCACGACGTTAATTAAGACGTTTTATAAACTTCAATATAGACCTAACGCACTATTTTGAAAATTCGGGTTAGTATTCTTCAAAGTTGCACACTCTTTATTTCTGTTAAAGATACATTCATTGGCTGTATCTCTTGCGTGCAATGGACCCAGGAGTCAAATGCCGATTAATTATTGTCTCCAATCGATAATAGCAGTTCTTAAAGCTAGCTTTTGTAGAATAGAATCCCATTATGTTACACACAGTTACAGAAAAATAGATTTATTTCCTTTGATAAAAGCATGCAAAAAATCCATGAGCTCATTAGAGAAGTTTTCAATCTCTTCTCTAACGACTCAATAACAATGACGTTGCTTTGGTCGTAGGAATGTTTTTAGAGACTCTCCTGTCCGTCCGTTCCTATCAGTGGCGTGGCGTGCTTTGCGATATATCGATTGATCTGCCATTTAAATCTATGGAAAAGGATCGATTATCAAGGTGTTCACGACGAACACCTTGATAAGCGATTCTTTACTACAGCTTTAAATGGAGAAATATCGATAATCGATCCTTCACGCCACGCCATACTATGCTTTATTCCTTCAGCACTGGCAACTAGGTCTACCGAGAGAGACATTCAGGAAAACTTAACATAAATAAACAAACAATTTTGCAAACGATCATCTTTCTTCTCGCAAACGATTTCAATTGTTTTACAGCAATTGTTTCTGCTTTAATCTCTAAACCATTGAGGCTCTAGTTTTATGAAAGCTAAAAAACGATTGAATTCATGCCGTAATAGGTCCACAACATCCATCGACATATATCAACAGCAGCTTGAGAGAGAGAGTTTGTTTATTTATTCAGGTTAGTTTTTCTTTGATGTCGCACTCCCTCGCACCCCTCCCCTCCCCCCTCTCTCCCTTTCCACTCCAATTTCTCTCCTCTTTTCTCTCCGGCGACGGCGAATACCTGGTTGCCGGTGACCGAGAAGGAAGTGCTCAATTTTTTACTTTTTTTCTTCTTTTTTTTCAAACAGCCTCCCAACCTCCACCTCTTGTGGTGTGAGATAGATCCATTTTTACTCAACACTTTCCGTGCGCCTATAGGTGTGTTTTCATGTATTTCTCCCTCACAGCGAGGAGAGCACGCGAAGAAAGGGTAAAATCTGATAAGTAATCAAGTAATTCCATAACCATAAAAAAAATTCAAACATTTTTTTGGCCAAAAGTTTGTTCTCAGTTTCCGCTAGTTGAACGTACTCATGCAAAAAAGAACTATGTTTCATGCAAACCTTTTTTTAATTTTCCGCATGTATTTCCCTTCAGCATTAATATGTCCATATTATCGTTTCAGCTTCGCCATTAGCGCGTTCCAGACGCGCAAACTAGAGGTTCAGTCTGGGGGAATCGACGCGGGTGTAGACTGCTGAAAATTTTTAAACACAGTAAAAAATTCTGAAAAATTTCGAGCTTCACATTAATGACAAAAAATGAGGGAAAGCCGTATGTTTCGGTAATTGTTTTTCTCGGAGTTTTGGTTTAGTTTCGGAGTAAAAATACTGGACTTTTGCCCGTGTCGGTCTACTGAGTTCGATTATTGTGACGTATGACGTCGTTTTCCTGGCGTAAGGGCGTATCTCAATTTCCACTTAAGCCTTGTTTTACATATAAATCCATGCTTTTTGGAGCTCATGCATAGATCGAGATACGTTTTACGCCAGAGACGCAATGATGCGAACTAAATTTCTTGTGTTGGGCTAAGGGGCTTGTCGCGTGGCACGCAACATATTCAGATGCTTTATCCTTGAACTTTATAGCCGTGTCGCTGAAGAGACCAGATGTTCGAAATCATGTCTCCTTCAATTCCACGAATCTAGCGAAAAGGAAAATTCAATGATTCTGCTAAAACAGTAAAACTCCTCCCACTAGTGACAAACAAAAATTGTTAAAGCGCGGTAAAGATACGTGGCCTTTTTTGCGCAGAAATCATCGTCATTTTTCGCGATAATTACTCATTATCTTGTGCAAAACGACACCCTTCCCTGCTGACGTCTTACCATAAGTTTGGTATTTGTTGAAAATATAACCAATGAAGCATTTAGAGGATTTCATATCGATGGCCAAATTGCGGAACCATGTATCTTATTTTGCAATGTTGCAGACTTCCTGCCGTACTTTATTTTCTCATTGGAGTACTATTTCCTCTCTCTATCAGCAGAATAACTAGTAGCAATTTCAAGCTCTACGTATAGTTTGGCTCATTTCTCTTTTAAATTATTAAATGAGGGTACAGATGTTATAGCACTTGAATAGCGATACGCTGTTTCGCACTTTAGCCATCGAAATACGGCTCGAGAGTAAAATTCGTCGATTTTTAACCACTCAAATCATTGATAACATTACCTGTAAGTTATCTTTTCGTCCCGGTTTTTCTTCAGTAATTCCTTGTCTAAAGCGATGTACATTTTTGAAAAATTATTTCCTTCTTCAGTCCAAACTTTTTTTTTTCTTAAAGTCAAAAAAAAGTGTGGCCTGAAGATGGATTTAAATGTTCCGAAATGTACATCGCTTTAGACAAGGAATTACTAAAGAAAAACCGGGACGAAAAGATAACTTACAGGTAATAATATCCGAACCGGTAAAATGAAAAAACCATATAATCATTGATAATAGTTTTTTACATGATTCTTGAAAATTTCACGCAAATCTGGGGCTAACTCAATGCAATTTTGGACAGTACTATTTGTAGGTCCATTTTCTCAAAACTTCATTTTTGGACTTGAAAATTGTTTGTTACTCTCTCCGCTTACGCAACAGTGTAAGAGATAAAATATTATAATGCTTTTGTCTCGTTCAATCATGTTGCAGTGCCAATGGCGTGATGGAGGATTCGTCCACCAGCAGCGCCACCAGCGGTCCCTCTGATGAGCCTTCGACCACCGAACGCCTGAACTCGACGACAGAGCGGGTTCTTTCGGAGAGAGAACTCATCCGCCTCGAATTCTACCGCACTTATGACGTCATGACTGGGGTGAGTCATGAGCAACTTTTCTAATTTTTATTGAAAGGAAAGTTTCCATCTTCATCGTTGCCTCTTTGTCTTGAATGTAAAAATCGTTTTCTTTCTGTGAGAGTATCATAAGCTTCCTTTTAACTGAAATTCAATCATTAATCATTGCGGATTTCCTGTATACTTTTAAAATGAAAATGCCACTTGTTTCTTAAGGTGATTCGATGAGCGCCATATTTTGTGTCAGAGCGGCATGCGATATATCGCATCAATTGGTTCCATTTTTTCAGCTACTCGTCATTTTTCTCCAATTTTGAGATCGCAATTCTGTTGTCAGGAGACTAAAGCACTCACTTGTTACCAATTTTAACAAATAAATTCAACGTAATAAAGGCGTGGTTTTTTCAGAGAGAAAACATCGCATTCGATACTGATATCGAAACTGCACTCGAATGCGATACTTTCTCTCTAAAAAAAACCACGCCTTTATTACGTTGAATTTCTTTATTAAGATTGGTAAGTGGGTGCTTTGGTCTCCTGACAACAGAATTGTGATTTCAAATTTGGAGAAAAATGACGAGTAGTTGAAAAAATGGAACCAATTTTTGCAATATATCGCATGCCGTCCTGACACAAAATATGGCGCTCATCGAATCACCTCATTGAAAACTTTCAAAAGTATTCGAAATAAAGGAGAGTGCGTAGGTATTACTAGCCACTTTTCTGGGAAAATCACAAATGGCCAAGTTTTGCAATAGCGAGGAGCGTTATGATGGCTTCGTTTGCATTTTTGGCTGTGTTCAACTTTAAAGATAGGACAGCTAACGCAGATGCCAAAAGCACCAATCATACATGATAATCTGGCCTTTGATCAAAATTGTGCAGGAATGAGATGTTATCTAGGAGATAAAATAAGATAAATTAAAAATGAGATAAATTGAGATAAATTGATAATTGAGATAAATTAAGTTTATAATAATAGCTGAGTGTGTGGAAATAAGTGGTAATTAGCCGCTTCAATTGAATTAATACAGTATCCAAGAGCCAAATGGCAAGGAATATGGCAACCACGCAGCTCAGTGACGGTGCTAAGTGTTAAGGGAGGTCAGTTTTATTTATTGTCAAGCTTTTGAGGACTAATGACTTCAATTAATGCGAGAGGAAATAGTTCCGTAGTTGATAAGTTAAAAATAGCTTACAAACATTCATTCACAGGGTTGAGTGCGTGATAGGGTGGTTCGAGTATAGCGTTTGCCAAATCTCCGAGATTCGTAAAACGTGGGCATCGCTAGTATATCGAAATCTTAATAGTGATTCTCTCTTTAAAACAGATGATGATAATAGCGCTAGTCGTTGAGTCGTGTTTTGATGGTAGAAACTTAGAGAATAGAGCTATAAATAAGTAGATCTTTCTAAACGTCAGTTTTTGACGTTCGTTTTCACACCGATATGAAATCGCCCATAAGTCGCTAGTCGAATAGTGTTATTCACCTTAGTAGGCCAGGTAAACTGGATAGAACGGAACGAACCGGGTTAAATTTGGCGAAAACTTGAGTCAGGCGTAGTTTTGAGCTCAAATAACAGTGTATGTTTCCCCGATAAAAATTCAAATCCGGTAAAAAATATTTTGTGCGTAAAAATAGTCGAGGAACTCTACTTTTAATATTGAGTATATGAAGGGTTAACTTAAAAACTTCAGTCTTCAGTGTATCAGCTCGATTCTGCTGTAACTTATTTGTTTTGTTCTGTAAATCTTGGTCCTATCATGGTCTCTTCTATACAGATCTTATCAACAGGGCGGTTATTACGAATGGACGCATTCATGCTGAGAAGTACGATGTACAAATGAATGTAACCTACACTGGAAATAAAAGTTACGGACTATATATACGGGCTGGGAAGCCAAAAGTTCCGGGTGCTAGAGTTATAGCTTTGATTGCTCCGAGTCCTACGCCCGGAACACGGGCGGCATGTTTATATAGCCCGTAAGTACGGCTTCCACGGCCGGAGTTTATTTTTCAGTGTAAGGAACTATGAAACGTCCAAACCCCATGTACATAGTCCATTCCTTTAATTGAATTTACTCAGTTCCAAAAAGCAAGAAGATATGCAATCGGACTATATTTTGCATCTCCATATGGAAACCAATGGCACATACATTAAAAAGAGCCAGAAATAGATGATTCCGTCTTGCGTGATCCAGTCCAATTCGTAGGCGAATCCAGGCACTTCAAAAAGGCGCGTGAGGGGGGTAAGGAGAATTTTTAAAATTTTAAAGCGCCTAACGTGCAGTTTGAGTAAATTTTGTCATGAATAATTACCAAATATTAACGTACTTCCTTCTTCTCTCCTCCGCCTCTTCCTTCCCTTTTTCCCCCTCGGTTTTCGGAGGGAGGGGAGAGGGGCGCACGTCCTTCACACCCCCTCTTTTGGATCCAGCTAGAGTCCCTTTATACTGAGAGTCAAGACAATTTGAATCCATTTCTGATTGGTTCCCGTATTTTAGGCCTCCACAGTGTCACAAACGGGAATAAAGGTAACATTTTCACCAATTGCAAAGATTATAATCTGGAATGGACCAGGGAATTACGGGTTCGGCAAGGAACAAACGGAATGAGAGGAGGAACGGAGAAAGGCATTTTAGAATGGGCCGATCAAAGATTACGAAAAACGTTCAATTTCTGTAATCTTCATTCCCGTTTGTGACATCCATGAGCCGAATAGTCTTGACTCTCAGTATAAAGGGACTCTAGATCCAGCTATGGTCCAATTAAATCTGCGAGAAAGCCTGATCCGCTGAAATTATCGGCAACATCGTGACCGTCAGTAGGAACTCGTCGTCAAGGGATCCATCACACTTCAGTGATTTTAATGTAATGGGTCACGCGAGGGGAATCGCAACAGGTACGGTACTGTGCCGCTCTATTAATTGGGCCCCATTTAATCCCCCCCCGGTCGGTTTCGCTTAATCGGGTTACCGCGGGTTGCCTGCTCCCCTGGGCTAGGAGTCAACTGTCTCAAAGCGCCGCCACTTAATGCGTTTTGCGAAATTAATTCATTCGATTTTTACGCTAATAATCGAGTCATAAACCAATTTGAAACTTTTGTGTTGGTCTTTTCTCCCTCCTCGCACGATTTGCTTTTTTCGTTGAAGGAGTCTCATTGCTTCGGGATGAAGCCATGAAAATGTGAAATAAAAGGAGAAATATAGGATATCATAGTTTCAGGATCCTTATAAATATTACGTAAGCTACTCTTAAGGACTGGGGGCTCAGTCTTACATGAGCCCTCCAATTCGGAGGGAAGCAAACCAATATATTTTTCAATAAAATTACGTCTGACTATTATTATTTTTCTTTTACTCGAAATAATATTTTTTGACTTTGGACGGATTTTTTCAAAAGAACAAATTGTTGCATGCAGTTACAACTGTTTTTTATAAAAGATGAGAAAAAAATTCGTCAAGGAAATCCCTATTCATAGGTATAGTTAAACCCTTTTTATGATAAGCTGACTCAAATTTGGCAGGGTTTAAGCCGGTATCAGTCATTAGTTAACAAAAAAAAAATAATTAAAAAGTTGTTTTGTCGATGACTTTAAAAGGAAACTTCGCTCAATTGTAAAAAAAGAACTTGTGTTTTTGGCACAGCTGAAAAAAAATAACAAATTTGATGATTTTTGGAATGATAGAAACTGGGTTCAAACGAATTCTTGCATTCTTAGTTTTTTTGTGTATGTGTCTGCGTGTACACCATCTCTCAATAAATATTTTTTACTACACTACATTGATACACAACCACAGATGAAACCATAAATGCAATGTGATAATTTTAATGAGATAAATAGTGAATTTCCATCCGTCCATCGACATAAATACTTGCAACATTTTTCTCACAACAGACTTTTGTAATGCCTCCTCCTTGTTCATGCCTGTTTTGACTTAAAATAATATGAACGCAAGGTCGCAGAAGAGAACGTAGCAGCTATCTCTCTTTCTAGACGACATGTACGTCAAACTGCCGTTGTTTGTACGTTATCGGACAAAAGAGAATGTACGAACCACGTTTGTTCCGACTGAATCTGTCAGTCAAAAGCCGGAGAATTTTTTGTTCTAGCTTATCAAGGAACATAGGGACAGCTAATATGATTCACCGAGTTGAGTGCCTCTTGCACAGCTAGACCGTCACTGACTGTTTACAGAGAAGAATTGCCGAGTTGCAAACTACAAAATTATAGACATTGGATTTTAGGTATTCTTTTGCCACAAAAGCGACTTTTTGCGTTCCCAGCATCATGTGCAAAACTTCGGGTTCAGAGACAGAAAGTTCCGAACGTTGGAGCTAAAAGAGGAGAACCGACTCAGCTTTGATACCAACAGTTTTTGTCTCGTTTTTTTCTTCGGGGTTCTCTGCACCTCGGAGGATGACGTCATATGCCGTGTTTTTAAGGGGCTATATTTTATGTTGATATTGTGCGAGGGAACTTGGTTAACAGACAAATCTAGATCTTATTATTTTGTGCTGATCTTCAATCTGGAATCATCAAGACACGATTCCAAGACTGGCCTATTGAAAATGAATGAAAAAAAAAAAAAGTTTTTTGGAAAAAGTATCATTGTCTCATGAGATCTGGCGATGCCTCTGAAAGATTGGCACTCTAATATCTTAGGTGCTCTTCAGTGCAGAGTTATGGGTGGTTTCACGATAAGTGGAGTAGCTTTGTCGCCGTAACAGACAACACATTTTTCGGTCATATTTTTAGAAGTAATGATAATCAGTCGAATTTTTTTGCATTAGTCTGCACAAGGTTACGTGTTATAACGCTTCTCAAAGATTTGTCGCTCTACTTTTCAATTTCAATGTAT